GAACAGTGGTAGGAGGAGCTCGTGGAGCCAAATGCAATGATAGCACATAGGTCTCCGCGAGAATAAATCGGAAGTTCGGTGTCGGAATTTAAGAAATTCCTGGACAAACACTATGCTGATATCCAATATATCGAGTGCACTCCAACATAACGGGTCTTAGTCCTGAGTGACATTACATGCAGATACACAGAGATACCACTTCTTGCTGCTTCCAACCAGTAATCAGTAATCGCGCCTCCGGGTGATGGACAAAATTCTGGTGGAAATGACCAAGGATGTGTTTCAGCACGTGATTTTCTTGATCATCTGTCAGCGAGGCATTTATTCACTGATGTTGAAGCAAAGTTAGCATTGCATTATGGATCAGTATAATAACAGTCAGCCTGGAGGGTAAAACATCCGAGGAGAAATGCCAAGTACTGATTTCCCTGTATTAACTTAAATAGCACTATAAGAAGACGAACCTTGCAATATGGTACCAATTCGGGCCCTCTGTTCATTTGCAAACGGTCAACATATCAGATGATAACGTGACAACGAAAGCAGTCAGTTCAACTCGGAAGATCACATGCATGCGAAGTAAACGGAAGCTGCAGGTTTAGGAAGTATCATTAGCTCCAAGGGAGTTGGAGCGCAACGAACAGATGCTTCTGGACACACGATGTTGGACGATGCTATTTTATGGCCACTGCCTGTACAAAGTTGAGGACTGTGGCGTTTGTTTTACGAATCGAAACCATCATGAAACGTCTGGCGATATCAACTAGCTTAACTTTGAACCAGTTCTAGTTCGCTTGTGATGTTGCCTTTCGCTTCGAGAGTTGACCAAACAGATTTTTAAATTGTGCCGCAACCTGAGTATCATGGTCTTCCGTTTGGAGGATTTCGAAATGTACACCCAGGGATAAAGTTGCCAGTTCTTTCCCATTCAATGAGGTCGAAGAAAGTTTATGCATGTTTTCGTAAATCTCCATGGAAAGGTATTTGCTGTTCATCATTTTCGGGGATCTACGTTGGTCTTTAGCCAGCTTTCTTTCCGTCCTATCAATGAGAGTTTTACAAAAGTCCATGTACTTGATTCGACAGACTAAAAATAATGATCAACAATGGACGTAGGACGTTCATGTAACTCTAATAACAATGATAGCATTCCGTTGGCCTCCTACAAATATGGATTGGCAAGCCGTTTTAGGTTTATGCGAGTTGGCCTCATCTTATCCCTCCGCAGCAATTTACAAAACCGTTGAGTGTATTTAGCGTTTTCCTTGCACTCACAGAGAAAACAAATACGTCTTTTAACCGCACCAATCTTGCACTTTAAACTTACCAGTCGAACATGGAAGCGAATCGTTTTAGTCAGGAGCCTTCATCTTGGAAAGTTGAAGCATTGAGTTCTGTGTATTAACTTGAATAGAACAATAAGAGGACGCATGTTGCAAGATGGTACCATTTCGTGTCCTCTGTTCCCTTGAAAACGGGTAACATATCATCTATCGGAACACAGACGTCACAGTCCTCAACTTTGTACAGGCAGTGACCATAAACTAGCATCGTCCAACATTGTGTGTCCAGAAGCATCTGTTCGTTACGCTCCCACTTCCTTGGAGCTAATGATACTTCCTAAGTATTTAGCTTCCGTTTACTGCGCTAGCATGTGACCTTCCGAGTTGAAATGACTGCTTTTGTTTCCATCTTATCATTTGATATCCTGACCGTTTGTAAGTAAACAGAGGGCATGAAATGGTACCACCTAAGTAGCAACCAGGGAGCATCAGTAAACGTTTAAAAATGGAAGATGCCACTCCCACGATTATTTCTTCAATGAAAACTCAGAATAACAAACCTAGTGTTTGGAGGAGAGAAGATTTAAGTCTGGGACCCCAGACTTTGCCAATGGTCTTGATTTCTTAGGAGAGCATCATTTACCGTTTAAACCATTTAAATGCTTCTATGATGACTCTGTTATTGACCACATGATAAGGTAGACAATTGAGTACGCCTTCTCAAAAGTGACCACTCATTCAGTATAACGACGACTGAAATGCGTGCCTTTTTAAACATTCTGTTTGTCTCTATCTATAATTCACTACCATGAAGGCAAATGTATTGGGATCATGAACATGATGTTTACAATGGAGCAATCAGTCAAACGGTGAATCGAAAGGTTTTTAACATAAGCGGGAAATATCTTCTTCTGGCAGAAAACAATAAAAATCTCCAAGCAGATGAACTGGTTAGTTCAAAAAACTCTACCATTCAAGGCAAACGAATGTCCCATTGCGCAGTTACGCCATAGACATAACTAAACATATTTACTCGGACACTCGGATTGCAGACCAGCTCCCATGATTGTGACCTTGGTGCGATGGTTCAGAGCGACCTCAACTGTTCAAAACAGTCTGAGGTAGCTGCGAAAGGAGACAACCAGCACTTCGACATGCTGCGAAGTGCATTCGGAAGATTCGGCTCGTAAGTATTCCCAATGGTGCACAATTCCTATGTGCGTCCTCACGTTGAATACGCTCCAGTGCTGGCAACCTTGGTTGAAGCGCGACCTAGGGGCATTTGAGGAACCACCATGAAGAGCAACAAAGAACCTAAATGGCTTGCGCTATCAATCTTACCATCGAAGCTTGAAGTTGCTGAGAATTTTCAGCGGACGCTACCGAAGGCTGCGCGGGGATCTCATATTAGCGTATCAGATATTGACTGACCCCAACCACGTATGCCGCATTTGCTGAAACTTAGTCATAACACGCAGCTCAGGGGCAACTGCTTGAAATTGAGGACATAATATAGGCGTCTAGAGTGTCGACGGAATTAGTTTTGTCTTCGGGTGTGCCAACTCTGGAACGCACTCCCAGACTCAGCTGTATCCTCTCCTACCTTAGAGATTTGCAAAAATCGATTAGATGTTTCTCTTAGCGCCCAGCACTTGGTTACCTAAACAGTGCCATTGTGGCTTACGCCAATTATGCATTTCAGCAGGATTTATGTATTAAATGGACCCAAGTGAGCGACCATATTTTGGTTTGCCCAAGCAATATATCTGCGACCACTGCACCCCGTGCATTTCTGCACACATACTCTCTAATTTTTAAATTAACTCTGACGTTATTTATCAAAGCACTCACCTCGGTAGACGCTCTGTATATGACACGTATATTTTGAGTTTATCATATTCACCTCAGCTATCCTACGGGACGTGTTAAGCACTTGTTTTTATCAAGTGATAAATCATGCTTCATTGTTCAATTTTAGTTAACGTCGACCACTTTACGACCATCTGAATGTAAGACTTATGACACTCTAACTCATGGAAGAAAATCAGTGCGTGGATGAAAGCAATATACCATATTGTGGCCATCATGGACTGAAGCAATGTACCATGGGAAATCCTCTTATATTTGAGTTTAACAGTGGTTCATTGCAAAACCTCAATGCTATGCTACCTAGCTGGATCGCTACCATAAAGCTCATGGCAAATATGACACGACATTACGCATGGGATTGGGATTGTTATGGGTTAGTGGATAAGCTCCCGAAGTGACGGTCCAACGATGTCATCTTTGGAAATCTTTCACGGACTTGCTGCTCATGAAGGTCTTAAGCAAAAATGCATCAGAGAAATGGGAACAGTTCGAGCAAACAAGACGGAAAGGTGCCCCTTTGACACAAAGCCAATGGGAAAGTAGACAGGAGGCAGTTGTGACTACAGTTTTGACATACGAGGGGATGTGTTCGTTTGCGATTAAACATAACTCTATTGTGACTCTTGCCAGCAAGTCTGTTGTTGTATATCTTCCGACATAAGTAAAGGAGTGATCACCGACGGAGAAATAATTCTTAGTTATTCAACAAACTTGTGTTGTTAGCAAGTATAACACTTCAATGGAAAGTGTGGATAAATTTGACCAAATTGTCGCTCAATGTAATTTCAGTTTTCGCAGCAAAAAGTGGTGGTAGCCGCTATTCGCTTTTCTCCCTATCGCTTCAAATGGCCATGCTTGGCTTTTGTACAGAAAATCACAAATGAATGAGCAAGAAGAGCATGCCATGCTTTTCTTCAAAAGAGCTGTCTTGAAAGTCTACGTAATGGTGTATGTAGCAGAGACAAACGTCACGCAAAATCTAAATGCACCCCGCAGCAAACGACAAAAAGTTGAGGACAGAATCAGGAAATCTTGGTCTGGACACCACTTGGAATCAGTGCCGAAACAAAGAAGATGTTGTCACTAAGGAAAGGAGGCTAATCCACTCTTCCCAGTGTGTGATGTGCCATTACACGGAGCCTGTTCTACAGCAAAGCACGCGTGAACCATCTAACACCTTTTCGTATAAATGTGCGCTACATATAATTTTATATTGAGTAATTGCCTATTATCTTTGGAGGAGATGTTAAACACTGTCACTCCAAATCCGCAAACTATTTTGTATGTGCTTGGAATATACGGTCTCATATTTACTTTTAAATTCCCACGTCACGGCGTCCTTAAAAAAAGGACCGAAAAACCATAATATTTCCTAAAATAAACCAAGTTTCCAAAATTCATATCTTATCTGAGTGTTTTCCCACCGTTTTCTACAGTGTATGTAAAAGTGGAGAACTTTTAAGACCTCATTAGAAAATGGGATTAAGGTTCATCCAATTCTGCCTGCGCCGCTGTGAATCACGCACACATTGGGCCTGGCACGAAGCCATTGGACTATGGCTTGACTGTCAACGCCTGTCGGCTGAACACAGCAACTGGACCAGACTCTCAGTCCAGTCAAGATACGTGTGAAAGTCAGACGCAGTCGGCTCCACCTCTGCTTAAAGTACGTAAGTCAAGATAGGGATCAAACTCACTTGACCGATACCAACCTGCATGAGGCAAATTTTAAGGCGAGGGAAGTGGTGTTATTCGCTGCATTGAAGTTACCCTGATTCCTTGAACTTCGTTCAATGCTGATTGCTCGATTGGTTAACTATTAACATGATATTCCGTCTCGTTCTCAGCTTACTTCATATTGTAAATGTCGGTTACGTCCGCTTTTTTCTGCCACAACAATGAGCTATGCTAAGAAGACAAAAATGATAGAGTGTAACCAGACTATTACCGTGTTGAGCGCACAGCTGCATTCTGTACTCGGTCCTTCAGAGGAAGAGCAATGTCACGCCGACGCCACAGGTGGTGGAGATTGGCAAAAGCGTCTCGAATTTTTGTTACACGGTTGGTGATCTCATCTTGGATCCAACAAGCACTAACACGGTTATCTAGATACTTGAATTTCTGGACGACATCTAACTGACCACCACCAAGGGTCAGCGTAACTGTGGGTCCCTGTGAACCTTAAATACAGACTGCATTTCGTGGGTACAAAACATACCCGGACACGATTGACAGCCGGAGCTAAGCTACGCATTGCAACTTGGCAATTTTTGGGCTGCTGCAGGTATGGGCAATGTCGTCGGTGTACACCAAGTCAGGAAGTCGATCCCCTGAGAGCAGCGCCAAATCTTCCAAATCGTGCTGGGTGAACGCATCTTACATGACTCCATCAATCGTGATATTAAACAGGAAACGTGACAGCGGTCAAACTTGTCCTACACTACTGGAGATCGTGAATGGTAAAGACAGTTTGCCATGAGCCGTGTTTTTGCCCGAAGTACGCGCGTACAGCGCTGTAATGAAAATTACTTATTTCTCGGGCGCACCTTTCTTGAGTAGACAGTCCTAAAGCGCACACTGGTCCACCGAATTCAAAGCACTTTTGATATCGAGAAACACGGCCACGGTCGTTCGCCAATAAGTATGGCGAGGCTGCAACAATTGACGTAAAGATGTGGCCAATGCAGCCTAGATGTCGACTAAACCCGGCTTGCTTCTCGCGAATGCGGTTTTCGCGGAAGCCCCCAATCTACGGAGGATGACAGCCAAGCAACTTAGGGGCAACTGAGATCAAAGTGATCCCTCAACGATTGCACTGAATAAGCCCCTGATAGAAAAGATCAACCAAGAAAGTTCTTGTTGCGTTTGGTGCTTTTGAGGATTTGGCTTCTAACATGAAAGATGCACAACCTCCTGATCTGGACCAGTGGTGTTTTATCCATGAACCATTGTTACTCTCACTAATGTCTTTTTCAAATTGGTCACACAGATACCATCGTCGTTATGCTACTATTGGGTGTGCTACCAGCTTAAGATTTTGTAAGGCACCATAGCATATTTTCAGTTCAGCAATACGCGCCCCGATCGACGACATAAAAACATATTTTTGATTTCGATTTCTTTCCAGGTATATTTTACGGCTTTTTCATTGTTATGGTGATGGGAGTAATGCGTGCCTTGACAACAGGTCTAGGTACATTAATATACGCCGACTGTTGCGACAAAGGTTGAGTCAGGTCGAATACAAGTTTTATTTGAGCAACTGAAGGTGTCAGTAGGTCTTGCGCCCTCCAGTGCTGTGGAGTTGTCGCCGAGCAATAGGCAGGGGCAGCATCTAGGCAGTCCTGAAAGCCGACCGCTATTCACGTCTTGTTACCTAATCAGTAGCAGAATAATTAATGTTTTGATTGATTAGTTAGCCAAAAGACTTAATTAAATTTTGCAATCCGCTTGTTTGATCTTGATGGCAGTTAGTGTCCTCATTCTGACGGGAGACCCGATGGTTGCCTGTGGGGCATATTTCTGCGCACGCACTTATGTCACAGCAAGGAATTTTCACCATTTGTATATCAATTGTCGTAGCACTGAGACTGGTTTAAGGGTTACGGTAGCATCTCTGCAGTCGAAGTGAAAAATTAGCAATTGGCAGTTTATGCTGTCTTTGGCCGAACGATATTGGGCATGAAGTACTGGGTGTACCACCTAGAAAAGTCCTACAAGTTCACTGAATTAGTTCGAGATTCAAAATCGCTGCATGTTTCACCGAATGAGCAATGTCCCCAGACAAAGCCATGACCCTGGGAGCAAACGAGTTATAATTTATGTGCCCAGTCAGCTTCAATGTGTACTGCCATTCCACAGAGCTCGAAGCACTATTCTCGTTCTTACAGCGTTTAAAACCAAACCGTGGAATTAGTAACTTTGACATCTAAGTGGGCCCATGACTACTACTGCTGCTTATCCTTAAAACACGCGATGTCTTACTTTTGTTTATTCACTACGTGGTGATTCTCACTGACATTCTGTGTCCCCATAGCTATTAGTAATGGATGAATGTAACATTATTACGGAAGTTTCAATGGCTTCAAACAAGTAATTGCTACAAAGCATCGCAGTTACTTAGACTCTTAGTCAGAACGGACGAACATTCTTCAATTCAGTACCGCACGCGTGTAGAATAGCCTATTCAGTTAAATTTAAAAGTTACATTCCCGACTACGCCGGACACGCCGTTAGAGGCTAACGAGTTCCATTCAACAAACCTACATGCCAGCTGAGTCTGGGGACGATCCAAGCGTAACCTGGTACGACGGCACAGAGACACGAACAAGAAAGAAAGACTGGCTGTTAGCAAGAGTTCTTTGACTAATTCAGCCAAATATATACACGTCTTCTACACCTTCATATTTATAGCTCAATAGAATGGCAGCGTGATGCGTAACCATAGTGGAAGAAGGAGGTTGGCAAGTCCAATGATTTGTCATCCAGTGGTAATGTTCCGAGAGAAACTCAGCTAGTCTCATTGTGGCTCTGTACAGCAACTGAGGAGCTCAGGATGTTCGGTGCGGAATGACACGATTGGAGCATCAGTGTCCCGAACAGAGCTCAGTTGGTTTACTGCGCTTTGGAATCAATGTCCTTTGGATGGCTCGGTTGTTACAAGAGCAGTCTGAGTCGCCGCATGGTAATTGCATGTCTGGGATGAGCATGGGGATATCTGCGCAAGTTTCGCGGAGCTATGCGAACTCCGCAACAATAATACAGAGCACACAATAAACAAAAATTGCAGATAATGGGTATTACCGCTCGTGTCCCAATCACCGTTGTAAACAAGGAGGATACAATTAAAGTATGCACGGCCGAACACGTGCCACGAGGATAACTAATTAATTGGAAGAGCCATTTCAGTATTATTTAGGAGGTCATTCCACAGTGTCCCGCACTCCGGGGTCTCCAGTATCTCCCGGAGCCTGATCCCTGTAGTTAGAATGAACCCACAAAAAGAAGTATCTTGGGGTTTTGGAACTATTAGTGACTGAGGTGTGTCAGCGACAACGGGGATGTCCATCGATCAAGGCGCATGTCTTGCTATTAGCCGTAACTGGCTCCAACCGTCCATGACATAAATTAATCAGGGCGATACGTCCATGGGTTTTGTTCGTTGGCAAATGCCTGTACCATTCATCGATTATCTACGGTGACTAGATGAACATATGAACTTTTAATTATTGCGTCATTTTGAAACACTTGTTGTATGGGTGGATTGTGACGTGCAACCTCCTTGTGTACCGGTATTCGCATTGAAGCCATAGTTGGTCAATTTGATCATTGGGATCGTAACTGATGTAGCAGCTTGATGTTATGGGTCGCCTGGTCGAAAACAGAGCACTCTTACAACGCTTCTTGATTTCATTTGATGTCATCAGATAGAGATAGCAGGCATCGAAACCTGGACAATTGGGATGTTAGTTGTGATAGCTACCCCATCCAATTAGTTATTAATCACTGTGACAAGCGTCACGCACAGTGACTTGGTTGCTTAGCAGTCGAAGACTCAGTGTAACATCCCAACATCCCCGGGTTCGAACGCCTGATATCTCTACCTGATGAGATCAAACGTTCGAAACCGGTCATGGAGTGTAGTACATTTCGGTAGACGACACAAAATAGCCATACCCTTCATCATAACCCCCGCCTAATTGAAAAGTTATAGCAAATCATACTATTCAACAATATATACACGCGAATGACCTGCAGTGCGATAACTCACCTCAGACAGCATTTTTGCATTTTCTTTCATCTGAAATTCCAGCTTCACTAGGGTATCTGTGATTTGCCTTTGTTCTCGGTCCAAGTGCTCTTCCTTTTAAAGAAACAATCATAAAAACTGTGCGGTCAGATGGTTTCGCTAATAAATTGAACAGGAAAGATAGCACCAGAAGTACTCTATGCACATGATTCTGAGTCAACAGTACTAAAGTACCAGATATACAATATATGAAGGCCGAAGGGGTGAGAAGGTTGCAGAAGAAAAGGGTTGCACGATACAAAATAACATCAACGGATAAGTGGTATGAAGACCAGTTTTCAAGAGTTCAAGAATCACCTAAAAGGACTTGGGCGCAAATAAACCAACAGAATTTTTAACTGGTATCCATTACCAACTGAAAAAGCGAAGAACATGGCTGATATATTTTCCAAACCTTATGCATTTACTATGTAAGTGTTACTTGACGTTTATTTACCTCGAGACCAAGTAGAACGATGGTGGTTTCTTGTTTTTGATCGGCTAGTCAGAAGAACAGGAAACAAGGGGCAATACGGCTGATCACGTGCCATGGTGCTTGCAAGAAATGTCAGAGTATATTTCTTAGTGGATTTTGTTACGAATTCTAACAATATCACTATTGGCGACTTGTTGCTGTAGCCGCCATGCTTGGTTATGTTGTCCGCCAGTAACTCTGACTGGTTTATCAGGAAGGGGGGGCCGTGGGCACTGATTGAATAACCATGAAACAGAGGACATTTGGGTAGCAGACAGCTGTCCTATTTATGTGCTTCTATCAACCTCCCTGAACGTTCCTTGTTCCTTTCCTTCCCAAATTGCTGAAATGATGTCAGCTTGTTACTGAACACGCAGTTGATTGTACTGGGGCTCCACTGCAATAGCTTCTAAGTCAGATAGAGTACCATTCATCCCGCGAAGCACCAGAGTTTTGAGTAGTGAAGAAAATATTCGTCTTAGCAGCATCGAAATGATGCCGTAACTCTAAAGGCCAACCGTCTCCGCTGCATTATTCGCAACTTGCAGGGCAGCTGCGGATGAGTCATGCTATACAGTAGCTGTACGGCATGACAGTTTACCACCGTCACCCGTCGTCAAATGGTATGATCTGCTAGCTTGTGTCTAAAGCCGCTAATGTCGACAGATCGTGACGGGGCCGAGCACTGCACACCACTGACGAATCCCAGCAGAACGAACCATCCGTTCGACCCATTTTCAGGATACGCGATAGACTATATAACTTGGAAGCTACTTCATTAAACTTGCATTACACTTACACCAAAAGCATTTGTTCTTTAGTTATACCTTCTGATTGCCTAATGGAAGTATTTGACGAATACCTGACAAAACGGCCATAGTATGATGTGTGTATGTTAACCCCGTGGTGCTCATGACTGTTGAGGTTTCAGCATGAAGGAAATAGATTTGGGCGACTTCTTTTACTTCTCACCGCCGACTCATAACTGTTTATAGTTGTGTCCCCTCGACGAGAAGTTAGATAAGCGAACTTGCCGAAAATGTCGATTACAGTGTACCCGGCGTGTTCCCTATTTCGTTCTCTAGTAGGGAAACTCAGAAGAAAAACAAATATCTGAAAAATGGAAAGGAATACCGATGTGCTGCGACTAAAACTGCTTAAACGAATTTGGAATCTGAAAAATTTGATCCCTTTGGTAATTTGAATAATGCCGTAAGAAGACGAACACTGGCAGATGTCAACATTTCGTATTGTCTCTTCAGTGCCAACACAATAACATGAAAATATATAAGACGACAGGTAGGGTGAGAGCGGAACAAGTTAGACCCGGGTACAGAGGCAGGCGTGACACCCCTACGCCCAGGGCAGCCATAGGCTTACGAACAGCTGTTTCTGCACACAGAGTGCGGGTTTGATACAGCTGATCGCGACTGCCTCTGCCAAACGTAGGAAACGGGCGTTAGCATGTCTTAACACGATTGGGAACATTTTGGCCTGATCAAACTGGTGACAGGTAGCCAGTAAATGCCTACCTATGGATGAAGCAGGTGGTTTACGTGAACAGGTGGTATGAGCAACCGACGACTGGGTGATTTGACACTACAACCATTTAACTACATGTTCCCTTATTCTGAAGTTTAAAGATCTGTTGGTACGGCCTATGTAGTGTATACCACAACTCCAAGTAAATTGGTAAATACAATGTGAGTTGGCGCCAATAGGTTGTCTTTCCGTTATTGGGGTAACAGGTATTCGATTAGTCCGGTTGATAAGGACAGTTTCGGCAGCCTAATAAGTCCTCTGGACTGCGGAAGTTATGCGCTTCATTGTCCTCATATTGGCAAAATCTCTCTTAAATACTAACTCGATGTAGACCTTCTTTTTAGACACTGTCGATACCTTCTGTCGCGGCACCCTCGCCTGACTATGTTTGTCGAGGAATCTACTTGGATAGCCATTTTTCAACAGCGTATCCTTGAGCGAGTTTATCTCATCATCTAAACTGTCGGTAGTGCATATTTTCCTTGCACGGTTGAATAGCGTCTTGACTAAGGTCCGCTTGTACCGCATTGGGGAGAAGCTGGTAAAGTGCAGGTACTGCCCTGACCAAGTCGGTTTTCGGTAAACCTCTCTTTTGATGGACCCATCTGCTCTTCGGCAAATCAACACGTCCAGATATTGGAGGCAGTTGGTTTTCTCTGTTTCGCTGGTTACTTTCAGATTCGTGTACACGTTATTCAGGCGATCGGCCAGACGAGCGATGTGCTTCTCTGATGAGCTAAAAACTAAAATATCATCCATATACCGCTTATAGTAGGTAAGACGCGACATTTCCACACTCAAATTCTTTTCAATCATGGACATGAAAAAATCTGGAATGGCCTTGTTCGCTGTGTCGTACCCTTCTATGTTTTTTGCGTCTCCCTGTGACTTGCTGGGTCAGTGTTGGGAATTGTACTGCTCGATCTATTGGTTCTTTTGCCAAATCTCTCCTGTTTTGACTATCCACTTGTTACCAGCACCAGTCCAAATGCTTCGGATGCGCCGTTTCGGTATCTCTCCTGTTTTCATAATCGTGACTTTCTAGATCTAACAAGGCTGATGAAAGCAATACTTTTATCGAAGTACGCTTGTGGAAACCCGTAAAACCATCTTCAATGTCCAAGGTTGGATTTGGGGTGTCAGTGTACGGAAGAGCAACACCGAAACTACTTTAAAGTTCCCAAAAACAGCATTGCTTTCTAAGACAACGATGATGACGATGCGTTTGAGTTAATGGATCATATCTATGCTGGTTAGAAAATGTGCCTAATTCAAACAGGGAACCGTGTCCTGTTTTTGGAGGGAGTTTTAATTTTATTAGCTGTTCACTCATAAGCCCGCGACCATCAGTTAGAATTCGCGAAATTCTAGGAGATGACTCGGAATCGCCACAATTCTACCCCATCTGCTATGGTAATGGCTGCGTTTCGGCTGTGGAATGGACGTTGTTCAACTACGCACGGGCATCGAAGTGAGGCGATACGTCACGTTAGCATAAACATAATTTGATACTAAAGTAAAAATATGTGTAGCATAGATGACTTGGTCATTTCTTGCACAATTCTCAAGACCTCCGTTCCAACAGCTGGGTTAGGACAGAAAGCTTCATGGTATGTGATGACACTGTTCACGTGGAACCATTATAGGTCTCCGATGGAAAACCATCTTTGATACACCAATTGTGTAAACCGGCAATTTGGCGGGATTGCCAGCTTAAGACCGAGCTTGTGTTGATACCAAAGTATTGAAATTAGATAAGGGCCACTAAAGTTCATTAGATAGAGATGGAAATGTTTCCTTCTAGAAAATACCTGAAGCAGTTCCGCCCTCAAAGCAAACGTACTTTATGAGCACTTCATGCGGAGAGCTAAAGGATAACATTCTTTCGGTACCGGAGATAGTAAGCAAATGTTGACGTAGCGAATATGTTATCAGGTTGAATGGTAACTACCTCCCGCTTGAGTAGAACACTGTATATCGCATATAGGATTCATTGTTTTCCGTGAGATCTTCCATACCTTACTGAATTCGGTGGTTAGTATCGAGCATCACCTTCGCATTGTGGAAGCTATACTTTCCTAAATGGTCTACAGTCATTGGTCTGCGATGAGATTAGCACAAAAAACGATTGTCGTCCAAACTCTAAAATTAATACTCGATTGCCAGACACGATATACGTAAGGGAAGAGCAAAAAAGCGCTGAAAAGATTTAGCGGACTTAGAACAACTGACAGAACGAGAACAGTTAGGGAGTGACGAAAATGGGCGGAGCTGCTGCATATATCTTAGAATTCCCTAGAAGCAAGAAGCTGAGCCAAGTTAAAGAAGCTCTCTAACTTTTCCAGTACAAGGAATAGGACATCAAGAGCTTTCATCAAAGCTTCATGAAGCGGAACAGTGTGGTCTGATCAGGTTATGTCCGTCGCAACGAGACTGGACCTTAACGTGGTGCGACGGTTTGCGTACCTCACTGACCCATTGAGCTATACTGGGTGATGCCTCCGAGCATCTTGAGAGCGACTCCTACCAGGTTGGTCAATAGTGAGAGGTCAGCCAAACTCAGTCTCGTGGTCCTCCAGGTTGGGGGTTTGAAATGGGATGGCGTCCACTTCTGTAAAACTAAATCACTGCCACCCCACTGCCTTGCGGACAGGCTTTTGAGCCAAAGGCTTTGGATGAGAACCCTAATCGTCCTCCTGTCTAGGTCTGGGCGCCCTGGCAGTATCTCAGCCCACATACAACCATGACATTTTCTTCAAACATAAACTTTATCCTGCATCGGCCGTCGCGCAGATTATCAAGGGTCGCCCTATCTGCTGCATACAGCAGGGCGGATAAGCGAAAACATGCTACTGCTGGCGTCTCCTTTCTTTTCCACCTTTTTCTCTTACTCCCATCCCGACCCCCATTACTAACCTTCCTTCTATAATTCTCAGCTTAATTGACAGCAACCAAAGTGCTACTGGAGTAGAACCATCTGCAGCCACCATCCCACAGCACCTATCAGACGCCTATCGGCAAAAGTCCCTTATAAGACCACTCCGTCCCGTTTCCATAG